ACTTGAACCTGAATTACATGTCTTGGCACATTACATACACGCATACATACATACATACATACATACATACATACATACATACATACATCTATGCATGCATGCATGCATGCATGCATGCATGCATTCATACATACATACATTACATACATACACACACATACATACATACATACATACATACATACATACATACATACATACATACATACATACCATTCATGCATGCATGCATACATACATACATACACACAAATACATACATACATACATACATACATACATACATACATACATACATACATACATACATACATACATGAATGCATACATACATACATACATACATACACATACACACATATATGTACATGCATAGGTTGGTGTGTATAGTGACAGTGTACTGCGTATATGTGTGTGTATATGCAAACAATGTCTTCAATATGCCAAGTACTACCATAAGCTTGGATTCTGGCAAGCAAACACACACACAGACACACACACACACACACACACGCACACGCACACGCACACGCAGGCACACAGATGGACAGAGACAGAGGCAGCGAGCCAAGCCTCCGCCACGAGGTAACGTTTCAAAAGGCTCCCAGTGAAGCCGGCACCCGGGGCGAAGGACTGCCGTTGCAGCATGAAGTTCACAGAAGCCTCCAGGAAGATTCGGCGTTTCTTGTAGGGCTTGTACAGCCGAGGCTAAGGGGAATGGGCTTGAGGGCATATTGCATGGATTTTCCAAGGTTGTAGTAGCTACGTGTGTTATACCGCCTGTCTTTGACTTCAGTTTTGCTCATGATCCAACAGGTCAGATCTTAGGGGTTCGCAATAAAATCAAGAAACAGTGTCTAGAGGTGGCCCGAATTACTGCACGACCGTGTGCGCCAGCATCATAAACACAGCCCAGGCCGCAAAGGGATCACGAAACGTAGGAAGCCCCATGCTCAACAAGCGGGCGGGACACTGAGACTTCCTAGATCCTACTACGGTGTGCCTCGGAACTGTCGGAAGATTGTTGATGAGTTTGAGGTTAGCGGCTTGGAAAGCAAGTCTCTAAGAGCCATCAGGGCCGCTTCTACTGGCAAATGACGAACAATGAGACATGGAGTCGTTCCAGATTAGAGGATGTCAAAACGAAAGTTCGGCAAATCGCTTCAACAGTCTTCAGATCCGGTCAGGGTCTCGAAATTTTCGCGTCTCGGGAAGAAGCTTGAAAACGAGGTAAGCGGATTCGACGGGGGTTGGTGCACGAAACTCAAACCTCCACGTCACATTACACTATGATACGTTGCGAGTGCCCTGACTCCCGCTACTCTCTCTTCCTGGTCAAGATCTACAACCTGCGTTCTTCTTGGTCTTGAGTTGCAACATTAAAGGCACGAGAACCATGTACTGTGATACGGCCGATCAAATCAATTCAGGCTACAGCCCACTAACCATGAACACAACGCCCTAGACCCTAGTGTACAACCTAGGTAAACCTTTAACTGTCCCTGAACTATAGGGGCTTAATAATTAGACTAGGGTTTTGGGGTATAGTATACTATAATTATCATAAGGAACCCCAAAACCCTATTCTAAATATTCACGCCCCTATCTTAGGGCCAGATCCCCCGCCCCAAACCTGAAAAACCAACTCCTGAACACTGGGCGCCCTACTGCCGTGGCCAGTCCCAGTGCATTTGCCTGCCCGGGATCCAGCAAAGAGTCGGCCTCAGACGACAAAATGAAGCAGAAGGGGTGCGTTTAGGGGCTTTAGATATAAATCAGGGACACGGGCCCTTAGAATTCTGTTTGGTTGTGCCCGGGTCATGAAAAGGCCTCTGGAGGCAGAGGCTTTGTAGGGGCAAAAGACTGCGAGCTCCCCCAGACATCTTTGGTGACCCTCGAAATCCTGAACCTGCAGCGAACCCTGAAGTAAGTGTTAGAGTTTCAGAAACCACGTCAGGAATTGCAGTCTTTTTTGCCTGTTGGCTGGCTAGGACACCGGGCTTCGCGGGGCTTAGGGTTTAAGGTTCGGGGAACTCGGTCGATCAGTTAAGGCACAGTGCAGGAGTGGAGGCCAGGCGGACTTCGAGACCATCAAGATTTGCTCAAGTACGATGTCACAACCCTAGCCCAAACCGTAGTTACCTAATGCTTAAAAGGTTTCCTCACAGAGAGCGCACCCATTTACAGCGCAACTTTTTGGCATAGCGGCACAGTGCGAACATGAGAAACACATTCGCAAGTCTCTGGGGCCGTGAAACCAGATGCGGGCACAAGCCACGGATTCTACGAATGCACTTTTGCATCGCCGGGCTTGTAGCAACGAATCTGCGCACGTTCTCCCTAGACGAGCTCCTTAGCGGGCTATCTTCTCAGTTATCCGAAACGCTGAAGTCGGGTCCACAACTTTACGAAAGCTCAACCACACACAAACAAATGGCAGTGCTTCAACATTATGGCCCCATCACGACACAGGCCCTCACTGCCGGCAGTGACCGATGGGTGCCAGTGGGGTCCTTAGCGGGGTCCTGGCTACTAGAACGATAGCCCCAAATCGTAAACCCCTATAGGTCCCTATGAGAAACTCACATGCCTCGAGGAGTCCCAACAGCGCCTCAGATCTCAGAACCGTCAGAACCTGTGGAATCGCCGTCGGGAACGGAAGCAGCCAGACGTCCTGGACCCGGCTTAGGGCTCACCATCGTTCTACATATACACAAGTTACATATGTATCTACATAATACATACATACATACATACATGCATACATACATACATACATACATACATACATACATACATTACATACATACAGACAGACATACATACATACATACATACATACACACATACATAGAAACTGATTTGTTTATAGATAAGACCTACATTTGTATACACACACATACATAATAGGCATACATACTTTAGAGCCTCGGAGGCCAAGGCTTCACAGCCGAAGGAACAGCAGTCCTGACAACTGGCACCTCCGGCACGTTTGAAGGAGCCTTGTGCCGAGGGAAGCTTTTACCCGGGGCTTCGTTCAGCTTCATCGCTCCAAAAGGACATGGATTTCATGGATCCTGCTCCTCAAAACAACATCGACCTTCCCAAGCTTGTTTTCGATGTTCTTTGCACTGAGTTTCTTGGTCAAGTCTAGGTCGTCGCGAGAGCTTGGCCCCCCTGGCTTTTCCCCGGTTCTGGCGACCCTCCGCTCGGGCATTGTGCGCCAGCTCTGGAGCACGGCTAACTCAGCAGTCTTAGTCTAGTTGACCTGTACACTCTCCACCTATAATGGGCTCCTGAAAAGTGGAACATGGAATTGGGATGAGTAGCGCTGGGGTTCCCTCTGCTTTACCTGAAGGGCATGAGGATGACGATGTTCCAACTTTCTTGCTTCTACCGTGTGGCAAGAATGATACAAGCGCTTGTGGGTCTACCCCCGATACAGCGTGTGCTTGGATGTGTGCTTAGATGAGTAGCCAGCTAGACCTTGCAGAGTCAGAGTATGGTACTCTAGAGACCCTAGAGCTTGCCCGAGCGCTTCCTACTAGCATTGATGCCGATTTGTTCATTTCGTGTCTCCGTAAAACCACACTGAGGCTTATGCCGCCGAACCATGTGCCCAACAGAAACCCCGACAACCCGAAACTTTCAAAAGCTGTAACCAAGTCTAGGGCTTCGGCAGCTTGGCACGCCGGACGCGTTTTACCATGTTCCGTGAGCCGCCCACCATTTCAGCAATTCGGGACATGGAGTTCTCTGGCATACCCGAAAGCCCGAAGCCCAAAGGCCCGAATTCTCCCTGTCCAATCCGCTACCCCAGACCCTCAAACCTCATAAACCCCCATAAGCACCACTGCTGGCCCTTGAAGCCGCAGCCCCAAAGGCCTCAACATCTTAAGACCCCGAAGCCTAAGATCCAGAATCCGGCCCAAAGGGCCTGGCTCTGCGCCTCCGCCTCTTTGAGCCGCTTTCGAAGATCTAAGACCTCCTGAGAGCAAGTCTTGCGATGCTTCCGTTCATGCGTCCCTGAACACCGAATTCCCAGGCCGTAAACCTCTAAAAAATCCCTGTACCCTAAACGACCTCCTCGAGCTCTCGACAGCGCCCTGTCAGCAGTGCTGCTCGCTGCTCCGCACTGTGAGAGGCCTGGCTTTCAACTTTCAACTCTGATTCGGGAGTTTCCAAAAATTAGGGTACAGGATCCTATTATTTAGGGTACTATATTAGGGTCCCCTATTGTCGGAAACCCCCATTTGGATTCTTTGGTCGGCAGAGAGCTTGGGTTGTCTTGCCTTTTCCGTGTCGCCGGGCTAGGACGATGCCCACAACCGAAGTTGCTTTGGGAGTTGACACGAATGCTGAAACAAAGGTCTGTTGCCTTAAGCAAGTTTCGAGCTGAGATCTTCAGAAGACCATGC